TGTTATTCTCCACCCCATGCACCTTTCCCACCGCACTTTGAAGACTGTGCTGGTGAGAAGGGGTCTGGGTGGAAGGTGGTGAGCAGGGTCTTCTGAGTACCTTTATCCCCCACTGCCAAACACACACAGCTTCCCAATAAATGATTGTGGGGAGGAGAGAGGTGGAGCCTCCCCAGGTTTTACTCCTGCAACATCAACTCCATCTCTTGCAGAAGTGAGGGGTTAGCTTTGCCTGGCCTCTAGGAACTTGGTGGGGAAGAGCTTTGAAGAGAGGCAGGTGACTTTAGAGAGGGGTGACAATGAGCCCTGGGAAGGTGGAAGAGAAGAGGAGGGGCGGCTACATGTTTCCTTCCCCTCCCTCCCCCCAGATGGAGGGTGGAGCAATTACCAGGGAGGGGGTCCATTGCTGTTCAGCCTCAGAATAAAGGCGCCGTTCACTGGCTCAGTTAAAAAAAAAAAAAAAAAAAAACTTAGCGACTTAATAACAAACTTATTTTTAAACAGCATGTTAGTTGTTTTCAAGTAATATGCTCAACATGTTTCATTTCCACCTTAAAACATCTTTAAATTTAAAACACTGGATCCAAATATTGAGAAAAACATAAATGCACTATAGAATGTCTTTAAAAATCGAGAAATACAGAGGGACTAGTGCATTTATTTTAACATCCCCAAACTGGCAGTCATTATGGAATGCTTGTGAATCAGGTCCTGTTCATAGCATATTTACATCCATTTATCTCATGTAATCCTCGCAACCCTATAAGAAAGGTAATACCTCTATGGGAGAAATTAACTTGACCAAAGGACATAGCCAAAGTAACAAAGTTAGCACAATGAACACAAGTTTTCTGATGACAACACTTGCACCCTTAGCTACCATGTTATTTCTTTTAAGTTAATAGAAGTCCAATAATTGTTTTAAAAAAGAGCTTCAAGTCCTGGCTTTACTTCTTATAAGCATTCTAACATTGGGTAGCTTATTCCACCTCTAAAGCTCAATTTCCTCATCTATAAAGAAGAGTGGGATGGTATTTAAATATACTCAATTTATAGGTTAACTGTGAGAGTTAAATGTGGTAAGGGGTTACTGCAGCTTAGCACAGTACCAGTCACAGGAATAGATCAATAAAGAACAGCTCTTATCATTATGGTGCTTCCATACCATACATACAGTAAGAGGGCAGCACAGCATAGGTTTTGAAGAAAGACTGCCTAGGTTCCCATCGAGTGCCACCATTGCCAAGTTATGTGACCTTGACAGAGGGCTTACCTCCTTGAACCAGATTTCCTCATCTGCAAAATAAGGATAATATTAATAGTGGTGTTGTTGTTCAGTCATTTAGTCATGTCCAGTTCTTACGGTGTCATGAAATCATGTGGCTAAAACAGTGCCTGTGCTTAGCAAACAGTAAACTATTATTAAATTTTGCTAATCCAAATGGTTTTGCTATATAGTATAGGAATGATTATATCATAACTGTGGATTTAGCTATCCACATATAGTTTTCCACCCAAGCTGTAATCTGGAGAACTGCAAATTTTATTAAAATATAGCAAGTGATCACTGGCTTTCTGGGGCATATTGGAGAAGAAAACTTGCATCTGAACCCAAGAAACACAAGTAATCTGAGTTTGGACTGTTAAAAGTAAATACAAGTAGTATATCACAGTCAAATACAGCAGAGTTCACTGGTCTGCAATGCTATAGATCCATGGTTCCCAAGTTTTACCATGAACCAAGCCACATGAAAGGCTTTTTTAAAAAGACATCAGAGTTTCTGATCAATAGGTCTGGGGTCAGTTCAGTTCAGTTCAGTCGCTCAGTCGTGTCTCACTCTTTGTGACCCCATGAATAGCAGCACGCCAGGCCTCCCTGTCTATCACAAACTCCTGGAGTTTACCCAAACTCATGTCCATTGAGTCAGTGAAGTCATCCAGCCATCTCATCCTCTGTCGTCCCCTTCTCCTCCTGCCCCCAATACCTCCCAGCATCAGGGTCTTTTCCAATGAGTCAATTCTTCACATGAGGTGGCCAAAGTATTGGAGTTTCAGCTTCAGCATCAGTCCTTCCAGTGAACACCCAGGACTGATCTCCTTTAGGATGGACTGGTTGGATCTCCTTCCAGTCCAAGGGACTCTCAAGAGCCATCTCCAACACCGCAGTTCAAAAGCATCCATTTTTCAGCGCTCAGCTTTCTTCACAGTCCAACTCTCACATCCATACATGACCACTGGAAAAACCATAGCCTTGACTAGATGGACCTTTGTTGGCAAAGTAATGTCTCTTCTTTTTAATATGCTATCCAGGTTGTTAATAACTTTCCTTCCAAGGAGTAAGCATCTGTTAATTTCATGGCTGCAATCACCATCTGCAGTGATTTTGGAGCCCAGAAAAATAAAGTCTGACACTGCTTCCACTGTTTCCCCATCTATTTGCCATGAAGTGATGGGACCAGATGCCATGATCTTAGTTTTCTGAATGTTGAGCTTTAAGCCAACTTTTTCACTCTCCTCTTTCACTTTCATCAAGAGGCTTTTTAGTTCCTTTTCACTTTCTGCCAAGAGGGTGGTGTCATCTGCATATCTGAGGTTATTGATATTTCTTCCAGCAATCTTGATTCCAGCTTGTGCTTCTTCCAGTCCAGTGTTTCTCATGATGTACTCTGCATATAAGTTAAATAAGCAGGGTGACAATATACAGCCTTGACGTACTCCTTTTCCTATTTGGAACCAGTCTGTTGTTCCATGTCAAGTTCTAACTGTTGCTTCCTGACCTGCATACAGGTTTCTCAAGAGGCAGGTCAGGTGGTCTGGTGTAGGGCCCCCAAATTTTCATTTCTAGTAAGTACACCAAGTGATACTGATGCTGCTGGCTGGGGTTCATGTTTTAAGACCCACTGATGCTGTTGGCTCTGAAAGTTGATAAACAGGAGCTAATAAAGGCAGTTTAACTGTTAATTAAAACCAAATATGCACTAATTTATGATTTGGGGATAATAAATATCTTTATAATGATGTTTCCCAAACTTGGCTCTTCACTGGAATCATCTCAGGAGGATTTTAATATACTAGTGCTTGTGTCCCCCCACCCCCAGCCCCCCAGAGATTCTAACTTAATTGGTCTGGAGTGAGGACTGGGAATTGGGAACTTTAGAAGGTCCTCAGATGACTCTAATGGCATCTGAAGTTGAGAAGCATTACTTCAGAAGGCCTAAGAAAGAAAGCCTCCTTACTCTGCATCTATTATTATTGGAGTTTTTTCAATCTACTTTTGTATTTTATCAGCAAAAACAAACATTAACAGGATGAAGACTTACATGCCAGTCCCATAGGTTGCCAGTGAGCTACTGGTAAAAGTTCTTCGCATTGTTTCTCAACTCTGACTGCACATGAAATCACCCTAAGTAGCTTTTAAAAATGTCATGCAAAGGCATCTTAGAGTTTGAAAGGAATATAGATTAAAAAAATAGTCAACAAGTTGGAGAATATGAAAGAAAATATTGAGTTGGCCAAAAAGTTCAACCCAATGTATGTCAAAATAATGCATTCACAAACCAAGCAGATAACCTGACATTTCAATAATACAAGGAATAACACCAAAATGGTTTGACATGCCAGACAGGGAAAGTATTTATAAATACCAAGTTTTAAAAAGTGCAATACAGATGGAAGAATCTGCAATAATGCAAATGCACACAGATGACTTCACATAAATACAATCAGTGATACCTGTGCTGTCTGAGAAAGTTCCCCCAAGTAGTTTCAATGTGTTTCCCCTTCCCAGTCGCACCTCACTTAGGCTGAGAATTCCTATCATAGAGCCAAGGAACAGAGACCACGCAAAAACCCAAGTTTAAAATAGCAACCAATATGTGAGACCAAACAGGTACCTTGAGAAAAATCTACTCTGAAGGTATAGTAAATTAAAGGCTGGGAAAATGTGCTAGCAACATTTTGTACTCAATTCTGTCCCAAACATTAAATAAGACATAAATCAATGTTTCTGTACTGAGATATTCAAGCTCAATTGTTATTTATTTAACATACATTACCATAACTAATGTGACATTTTCACATTTGAAGACTATGTAAGAACTTTATAGTGAAGAGAAGACTCTTGAGAGTCCCTTGTACTGCAAGGAGATCAAACCACTCAATCCTAAAATGTTCAGTGGAAGGACTGATGCTGAAGCTGAAGCTTCAGTACTTTGGCCGCCTGATGTGAAGAGCTGACTCTTTGGAAAAGACTCTGATGCTGGGAAAGACTGAAGGCAGGAGGAGAAGGTAATAACAGAGGATGAGATGGCATTACTGACTCTATGGACATGAGTTTGAGCAAGCTCCAGCACTTAGAGTTGGTGCTGGACAGGGAAGCCTGGTGTGGTATAGTCCATAGGGTTGAGTCAGGCACAACTGAGTGAACTGAACTGAACTGAAGAACTTTATAATATATATAACCACTCTTACCTGCTTAAGCAAATATAAATAAATACTCCCATGCTTACTTTTTAAAACCATACATTTGCTTGATAGAAAAAGTGATACACACAGTGACTTCCCCAAAAAAGGGGTGTTAAATTTTCCTGAAAGCCAGAATTTAGTCACACAGAGGCATTTTATTGTAAGTTACATGAAAACCAACTTAGTTCTTCAGAAAAAATAAACAACATTTAAGATATACTAGACCAAAAAATTCTGAATAAAGATGATAAAGATAAAAATATAACACTGAAAAAACCTTTAAATTTATTAGAATACACAATTTTAATTTTCCTCTAGTCAAATTTTATTCACAAGGCTACTTGTCGGAAATCTATTTGAAAAGGCAGAAATTAAAATAATTGCTTTATTTCTTGGTTCCGTTAGTGCTAATTCACAAGATCTTTGTTAAGTTTTATCTGAAAGAAAAACATAGAAACTTGAAAGCAGGAGCCGGGAAAGGAGAGTATAAGTTCAAGAACATATTACTGAAAACAAACTCTACAACTCGACCTCACTTATGACATGTGAGTAGAAAGAGCAAACCAGCCTTCTTCACTTTGTTTCTCAATCTGTTGAACAAAGATGCAAAAAGACTTTAGAAAGTAATCAGGAGCACAAGACCACTCAAGATTTACAATTATTCATACCAAGTACAAAGAACCAAAGTTATCCTATACCACTGAATGGTACTAAAAATTATCGATACTAGCAATTTTTATTCTGTAACAGAGACACTCCCAAATATTCCCTGGTCAACAGATCTCCTTATTGATTTGGAAGGCCTACTTTTTTAAAAAAGGATCAATCCAGTATTTTATGCAAGTCATACATACAACTTTTTAAAAAAACAAAAAGTTATTTGATCTTGGTAAATTAAATCTGTTACTAAATTCCAGAAATTAAGGGCAGATTATATAAAGTAGTTTCCATTAAAGCTCTTTTTAGGATGTAAGAAACAGCAAAGAACAGACAAATCTTCCAGTGCTGGGCAACTGGGCTATCTGAGCCTATCAATTAATTTGGACTATAAATACTCAACACTTACTGACGCACTCACTATCTGGTCTAATTACTGAAGCCAGTAATAAGAATAGCAAAGACCATTCTCCCCCATCAAACAGATGTTAGCTCACATTTGCAAACATAATGTTTATGATTTTAAAGTTATCCTTACAATTTGCTATGACCAAACAAAGGAAAGTTATTAATATATTTTGCTGTATTACCAGCACAGAAACATTCCTTTTGCAAAAAATCTGGATACACTGTAAGAAACTTAGTTTCTATATATTCCTGTAACAAATCAGAATACATAAAAATATGTAAGACATTTATTAACCTTTTGTGCTGGAATTCTCTAAATGTGGCATGAAACCTCTCTGTGGCACACTCAGATATGCACATTGGGGCAAAGTGACAAGGAGAGTGACCGGTCCCAGGGCTCCAGCTATCCCGAGGCCTATAAAGCCACAGCAAGGACTGAGGAAACCAGCACCTCATAAACCCACAACCCACCCAAGACACCCCTGTGTTTCTTGCCATACTGTTTAGATTGCTCTGCAGGAAACAATAATGTCCATCTTTGTTGAAATCTTATTGAATTGTATTCTATTCCTTAATTACCCTAGAAAACAAAAGTGCATGCTTGTTTTTTCTAATGAAGGTGAATTAGTGTTTCTTTTCTTCTGAACACTTTATTATCTTTAAGATAAGAGGAATAATAATTAAGCATGACCATTGCCAAATCAACCACCTTCCACTCTTGCCCTCCTAACCTCTACACACATTTCAGAATTACACTTTATCATATACCTTTGCTCTTGGATTAAGAGGCGTCAAGTGCCCACTTCCTGAGGTGGCATTTAAGGGAGAACAAGAATTACTAGCAGCCCCTGAAGATCTATTTAAAAGAAAAAAAAAAGTGAGAGAATAATCTATCATTATTAACCTTTAAAAATGATATAAGACACAATTCTCAATACTGCCAAGAGCTTGAAATGGAATAGCTGACTTAAATCCAAATGAGGTAAATTATTTGTAACATATTTTCACCAACCTAAGCCTTGTTTTAATTAGTAGATTTTCTTTTTTGAAGTATTTTTAGGTTTACAGAAAGACTGCATGGAATGTACAAAGACATTACAGTACCATACAGATAAGTTTTTAATATTAAAAGAGGAAGTACAGATGTGGAGGGGTGGGGGAGAAGGCTGAAGTCATGGAATAGTAATGAGACTTGGAGCAGTGTAGTAGTAGCATGTTGAGTGGACAAAGAGAGCCAGGTACATCCCCATTTACCAACTACATGCCCCATCTAGGCAAACCACCCAATTAGCTGTATGAGCTTTGGTTTCACTTACTGTAGAGAACAAAATACTATTGCTCAATTTATCCACACTGTCACATATTACCTCCAAATTTTGTAACCCATAAAGTGCTCCACATATGTGCCATTATCCCATTTTTATTTTCAATAACCAACCCAATGCTTTTCTACGTAATGAAGGATTTTTCCTCACTCCTTTTTTTCCCTGCCCTCCAAATTCTCCTCCCCGATCACCTGATTTTTCTCTACATGAGTAAATCTATCTGAATCTAAGTCAGACACTATGCACTTCCTTTTTTCACAAAAAGCACAAAACATAAACCATGCTTTTGATTTTAACCCTACCTTCTCGAATTTAGCCCACTAGAAGGAGAGACAGTACTGCATTTTGAGCTTTCTGGGGCTTCTGCTCCTGGAATAGACACCTCAATTGTCCTCTTTCCTCCCTCTGTAATATAAAAATAAACATTAGTTACATTACCTTTCATTACAATGGAAATTAAAATTTAATTTGATTTCTGTCTTATTGCAAATTTTACATTATAAATTTGAGGGTTCTGTCTATATTTTTATTATAATGGCCCACAAATACACTTCAAGGATTTTTTAAAAACAAACTGAGACAAAAAATTGTAGTCACTAGTGTCAATTCAGGAACATGCCAGTTCTTAGAGAGAAAATCTTCAGACAAGTGGTATCATGTCAGAGCCTCAAGCGAAAAACAGAAATTAAGAACTATCCCTAAAGAACAGGAGATCCTGGTTAGAGTGGCTTATCTAAAGCTTTCCCAAAAAAAAAGGAAAAAGAAAAGTTCTGGAGTTACGCTGTAAAACTAAATCTAAATCTATTACATTACTGCCATTACTGAAGACATTAAATTTGGAGGGGAAAGTTGGCTGAAGAGTTCATATGGCCAATGGCAACTATAATTATGTACATTTTCAATATTTCAGAAGTAGATAATCAGTCAACAAATATTTACTAAGTATCTACTCATGAAAGGCTCTCAGTCAATGCTCCTGTGAATCACTGCTTAAAACTAGTGCTTTTTTAAGGGGTAATGACACTCTTTCAATTTTATAACATATTCCTTGGTTACCCTAGAAAACAAGAGGTTCTGCATGGCAAATGATTTATTTTTATCTCTATCATTATAGTCCACAGAGGTTCCTGTGAAACCAAGAATTTCACTTAAGAATACCTTAGACAAATAAGCACTGGAATGGAAAGAACAAGGTTGCAAATCTACCAATTTGCTTTAGAACTTCAGACAAATCACTCAACCTCTTTGTGACTCGATTTACTTATTTATCAAAGAGTTGTATCAGCTTTGTCTGCTCTGAGTGGTGTCAAAAACTAAATGAGCCAACAAAAATGAAAGTATTACCCTCAAAGAACTACTGAAATACATGTCTCATTTTATCACAGGATTATTCTTAAGAGTGATCTGCTTTATTTTTCTTCACTGTACTTGGCATTAACTGACAGTGTCTCATATATTTATTTGTTTATTTGTATTGTCTGCTCCCCAACTGGAACCCTGGTGTGGTCAAGATGGCCAGGAACTTGTCCTGTTCGATGCAGTATCCCCAGTGCCCAGAACATGGTGGCACATGGTTGGTATTCATATACATGGAGTGATTTCACTTATTTATTCTAGTCAGAAGTTGTCTCTAGACTTTCTGACTATGAAGAACAGTAGACAAAACTGCAATGTGAAAGGAGCCTAGAATAAACAAAGAGGAAGGGCCTTCGGGAAATGCACTATCCACCACTTTCTAGTACTTTATCCAAATCACTCTGTTTTCTGGGTCTGTTAAGTGTCAAAAAGAAAATAACTCTGAAAATAAAAGTCTTACTGGTAGATCCTTTAAAGGCAACCTACTTCAACCAGCCACAGGATGTAGGAATCTCTAAAACAGCATTGCTTGAGCACCTCAGGGAGCACAACACTTACTGATACACAGCTTTGTCTTTTCCTGACAATTAGAACCTTCTCTGTATACCAGGCTCAATTAGTCTCTCTGGAATCTTTATGCAGCTCTACGCCTTAAAGTTCTTAATAATTGAATTTTTGGCTAAAGAGCAACTTGAGGTCTACTTTGTTTCATCAGTACCTTTTAGAATGTGATCACTATGACAACTAATTTTTCAATTATATTTCTATTGTTTAGAATTCCCTCTAGCATCCCACATTCCCTAAATGTAACAATGAATAGAAAGTTTAACTTACAAATGAAAATGTTTTAAAGGCTTTAACAGAATAATAACTTGTAATTTGTTGTTCATGAAATTCTAAAAGATCATTTTGATGCTCATGTTTATAATTAGCTGCAGCATATGCCAAAACTGAATCATGTCCTGTAATCGATTCCATTTATATGTAGCGCAACTTAGGAACTCAGACACCAAAGATGAACTGCAGGCACCATGGATAGCTTTCCAGAAGCTAGAGTAGAGACTGGCCTTCTGGTCCCATTTCTGTCACTGAGGTCTGTTTCTTTCTATATACAATTGAAGACACTGAAATATACGGGCTTGAGATTTCTTTTAGCTAAATATATACTCATAGTCAAGAAAGTGAAAGTTTCCATGCATCTAAGTTTTTAAATTATGAATTTGTGACTAACCAGACCATGCTCTGAGAGGTGACTGCACAGGTGATACTGGTGGAGAGGAAGGATTCAAGCCAATAAGATTCTGCTGCTCTATTAACTGCAAGAGTTTTCCACGAGCCTCCATACTCTGTCGATTCAATTCTGCAATCCGTTCCTCCATGCTACTTGGTGTCAGAGGTTGCACCGCTGGAAAATTCTTTAAAAACAAAAAAAGACACAGATTCCATGTTAGAAATAATCCAAACAATTCTCACTCTTTGTAAAAATAAACTTTTCCTCTAAGAGCCAGCAAATTAATATTCATAGTCCTTGCTACATGCAAACTTGAATAATGGGCAAACAGTAACAAATTTACAGATCTCTTAATTTACAAATAAAGGCTAAAGTGGAGGGATACTTGTCCTTCTAATATCAATACCACATAAGCCTTCTAGTCCCTCTGTCCATGTAGAGTGACTATGGGACAAACCAAAGCTTTCCTGCATCTCTTAGTGTTTGTTGAGCTGCACAAAGACCACATAAGCAAAGATACTACTCTTAGTGATTGACTTCTAAGTAATCCCTATTTAAAGACAGGTCTGGGGTTTGAATCACAATATATACAAGAGGTTCTGTTGTAGTTGAAACAGATGATTCTATAATTATAATCCTCATGCACCATGAGCTATTTGGCAAAGACTTCTAGGAATCGAATCACTCCTTCTGACCACATGTCAGCCCTTCCAGGCTGCTTTTGGCCTACAATACCTGATTTCAGAAGGCTGGTGACTGTAAAAGAATATGGGAAGTAAGAGTAAGGAGCTACTCAAGGAATATCACGAAAGTTTGATGTGAAAATTCCTGAAAGAAATGTATATGTCACTCTTAAGTATTTCATTTAGTTAAATATGTCCCTTTGAGGGAAAATCAATTCCTAATAGAAGTCACTAATTTGCAGTTTACACTCATTAGTTAAAAAAGAGACAGCAAAATAGCACGAATTAAAAAAATAACAAAAAGAGTAGTGAGCACAATAAAACTAGATTGTCCTCTCTTGCCTGATTGCTACCCCAGTGGGAAAAGGGGGCAAACTCAATTTTTAATTCTGTGGTCTTTTTAAAACCAAGAGTTGCCTACTTCAAATAATCTTCAAAACTCTGCAAACACAGAAATGTTTCCATTGACTAGAACTGAGACGGTATGTATTGATAACCACGGCCCACTCCTGATCTCCTTCTCGGCTTCTTCTGCCAATCCCTTCTGATGGCTGTTTCTGTGACTCAATACTCACATTCCCCCTGAGCCAGTGCTGACAGATGGCCCTCACCCCCACTCTCTTTCAACCTTCTTCATAGGGATCCTCAATCCACTGCTGCTAAAGCCCTTATGGAAGCCATCACTATGGATCCCCTAATCCACAAAGCTGGCCAGCTCCTTCCCATGGCCTCATCCCCATCAGAACTCTCAGAGGTGCCACCCTGGCTTCGTTACAAGGTAAAAGGAAGTCTCTCCCATCACTGGGATCAGCATGAAGGCATGTTTCACAATTGGAACTTAGAGTCCCTTTTCTCCCCATAAACAAGGCAATGAAGGTTTACATTGCTAGGTCAGCCTGCAGTGTACTTAACTTACAAAATTTCAGCACAACAGTATGTAGACATTTTTTAATTTTTTTGCCTTTTTTAAAAAACTTAACTTCTTTTTATTGAAGGATAATTGCTTTACAGACTTGTGCTGTTTTCTGTCAAGCCTCAACATGAATCAGCCATAGGTATACATATATCCCCTCCCTTTTGAGACTCCCTCCCATTTCCCTCCCCATCCCACCCCTCTAGGTTGATACAGAGCCCCTGTTTGAGTTTCCTGAGCATACAGCAAATTCCCATTGGCTATCTATTTTACATATGGTAATGTAAGTTTCCATGTTACTCTTTCCATACATCTCACCCTCTCCTCTCCTCTCCCCATGTCCATAAGTCTATTCTCTATGCCTGTTTCTCCACTGTTGCCCTGTAAATAAATTCTTCAGTACCATTTTTCTAGATTCTGTATATATGTGTTAGAATATGATATTCATCTTTCTCTTTCTGACTCACTTCACTCTGTACAATAGGTTCTAAGTTCATCCACCTCATTGGAACTGACTCAAATATGCTCAGTGTGTAGGCTTTTGCTCCTCAAAATGTAATCCTCGGACCAATATCATTTGAAATTTATTAGGAACGCACAGGTTCTACCTCAGACCCACTCAATCAGACACTGCATATTAGCAAGATCCCCAGATAATTCATATACATTAAAGTCTGACTTCAATAATTCTTTAAAACATCATTTCCATATGAGAATGCATTGTGTCCTAAAAAATTAACTACTCATGAGTTGAGGGCCAACTACATGCAACTCTCTTTTATGAGCCCCTTTGAGAGTAAAAATGATTTCAACTAAAATGCAGTTGTGGGGCAAATGTTCAAAACATATTTGTTCTACATTCTATATTAAAAATTTCATTCCTAGCTTAATTCTAGCTTTTCTACCCATTTTACTTTTGTCCTATTTTCCTCATTCATTTCCCCATTTAAATTTTATGTTGTCTTCTTCTAACATGTGTGACATAAACTGATAAAAAACCTCTACTTATTTTGTGATGAGGACATGACAAAGCGTAAGTCCTCTAGTACCAGCCTCAAAGATATCCAGGATCATTTCTAGATGCTCCAGTAATAAACTTAAATTCCCACACATCTGGAGTCAATCCTTAACTGGTACTCACAGCCATCGTGTCACTGGCGTGACTGGTCTCCTGTCTGTTAAACTCCCGAAGTCCGTCCCCTTGTTCTCCCCTTGGACCAATAATATTACTCAGATGTGCCCTGATAGCTGAATTCTGCAGGGTCAACTCCGCAATTCGTGCCATGATGTCCTTTCTCTGTATTAATGTCTCATTTGTTCTAAGCTGTTGCCCATCTCCCAACACCAGGGGTTCTTCTGAGAGTGTGGGGTTTCTTGATTGCTGCATGCTTGACCGCGAACTGCAGACAGGCTGTGAGAGGCTAACAAAAGGAGCCTGGGTTTTGCTCTGCAAGTCTTCTCCCATGTGAGAGGCCCTCCACCTCTGAGTAAAGAGGTGACTCTCGTCACTTGAGTTCTGAATGTCTGCGCCAACAGGTAAGGTCTTCTTTTCCCAATTTTGTTCCTTTTCAATTATTTCTACGGTTGGAGGAATTCGTGGAGCAGGACGAGTTTGAACAGTCCTTCTCAATACTGTAGATACAGTTAGAACATAACAAACATGTACTGTTGAATCACAGTTGGCACTATAATCATCTCATAACCCACCCCCCCACTTAGTAGTTAGCATTCGAGAAGCATTTCAAAGGAAGGATTTGGTTTCTGAATGCCTCAATTATTTTAACAGGGAATATACCAGCAATACTACTCCTAATAATCAAGTACAGAGTCTTTTATACTCCTTAGAGCTTTATCAGCAACCTTGTGAAAAACCATCTACCTAGTTCACATTTTAACACATATATTAACTCATATCTGGGAATTCTGGGGGGAGTATAGACACGTAACGTAAACTAAAGATGGATGGGGAAGTATCTCTGAAGAAGTAAACTTTTTATTTACTTTTTTGCTTTGTATTTTGGGAGGTTTTTTTGGCCACTCTATGTGTGGATCTTAGTACCCCTATCAGGGCTCGAACCTGCAGCCCCTGCATTGGGATTACAGAGTCGTAACCATTGGTCCACCAGGGAAGTCCCAAGAAGTGACACTTGAATGATTACATATGTGGCAGAGAGTGGAGCAAAGACCATTACAATCAGAGATAACAACATATGTGAAGGCCCCAAAATAGGAAAGAGCAAAGAAAGGAGGCCAGTCTGTCTGTAGCATACCAACAAGGGAGCATCGGGGAATACAATATATAAGACTAGAGAAGCATGCAGGGGCCATTTCTCACAGAGCTTTTTAAGCCATGTTAGAAATTTTATAATTTAATCCAAGAGCAATGAAATCTGGAGAAGGTTTGTCCACAACTCAATTTACATAATTTACATTTACTAAATGCTGTAGAAATTAGAAGGTCCAGGAAGAGAAGCAGGGTGACCAGCAAGCAACTGTAGTAGTCAAGAAGAAAGATGATGGTAGCTTTGACTAAGGTATGTTGGCTATGAAGAAGGAAAGAAGACACATTCGAGAAATATCTTGGCAACTGAACTACAAATGATGCACTGAAAGCAAAAAGTGAGGGAAAATGCAGAGTATGACAGCATGCACAAATGAATGGATGGTGATGCTGTTTAGTAAGATGGAGCCCATCAGGAGAACAGATTTAGGGGAAGGAGGATTATCAAGAATTGTTTTGAACATGCTAAGCTTAAGCTGCCTATATATCAATCCAAGGAGATGAAACATGGGTCAGAAACTCAAGAGATCATCTAGGCGAAGATCTAAAACTGGAGGTCACTGGCATATAGAAGGTATTGGAAGCCACAAGAACAGTGAGATTATTTAGACAGAAGTAATAGTGAGAGAAGAAACCAGTATCAGGACATGAAGAACTTAATATTGAGAGTGAGGTAGGTAATGGCAACCCACTCCAGTGTTCTTGCCTGGAGAATCCCTGGGACAGGGGAGCCTGGTGGGCTGCCGTCTATGGGGTCGCACAGAGTCAGACATGACTGAAGTGACTTAGCAGCACCAGCAGCAGGAAATGGCAACCCACTCCAGCATTCTTGCCTGGAGAATCCCATGGAGGGAGGAGCCTAGCAGGCTACAGTCCATGGGGTTGCAAAGAGTCAGACACGACTGAGAGACTTCACTTTCTTTCACTTTCAAAGTATTATTTGCTTGGGCTCCAAAATCACTGCAAACAGTGACTGCAGCCATGAAATTAAAAGACACTTGCTCCTTGGAAGAAAAGCTATGACAAACCTAGACAGCATATTAAAAAGCAGAGACATCACTTGGCTGACAAAGGTCCATAGTCAAAGCTGTGGTTTTTCTGGTAATCATGTACGAATGTGAGAGCTGGACCATAAACAAGGCTGAGCACTGAAGAACTGAGGCTTTCAAACTGAGGTGCGGGAGAAGACTCTTGAGAGTACCCTGGAGAGCAAGGAAATCAGTCAGTCCTAAACGAAATCAGCCAGTCCTAAACCAAATCAATGCTGAAGCTAAAACTCCAATACTTCGGCCACCTGATGCAAACAGCCAACTCATTAGAAAAGACGCTGATGCTGGGAAGATTGAAGCCAAGAGAAGGGGACAACAGAGGACGAGATGATTAGATGGCATCACTGACTCAATGGACATGAGTTTGAGCAAGCTCTAGGAGACAGTGAAGGACAGGGAAGCCTGGTGTGCTGCAGTCCATGGGGTTGCAAAGAGTTGGACGCGACTGAGCAACTGAACAACAATACCCCTGGACCATACAGACAAATGGGATATCCCCTTACTCTGCATTTCATTGCTGAGAACTTGGTCCTTTGATCTGAGTTTAACTGACATTTACAAAGCCTGATAGAACAGATACATGATGAAATTCACTGTCACATTTCACTATAGGTATAATGCACATGATATAAACCACTCTGAAAAACTCTCCTTCAGCTAAAAGGTTAAAATGATCATCAGTACCTTTTCAAATCCTGTTTATAAGGGAACAATGAACATACTGTATGACATATATAAAGCAAAGAAAAACAACTGCCATATAACTTTAGAAGAAGCCTGCTTACCGTCCTGCAAAGGAGAGAATTCTGAGTTGCTCTTCTGCCTGGGTGGTGTTAACAACACTGCTGGCTCAAATATATGTCCTGGAAGATTGCTGGCCAGGTTCCCACTTTCTGGAGGGTTTGGCACCTGAGACAGTTTGACAGGCAAATCTTCCTGTGGGAACTCAACGATGTCTTCTCCTCTGAACATCAGTGGCACGGAGACACCAGCATTTACAGCTGGGTCCTCTGAAGATGAGAGGTTATTAGTACTCAAAGGAATTATGAGCACACTTCAGGCACTTAGACATAGGCGCATTTCCACAGAGGGCAAAATCATGTGGCCTCTGGAGCCCTCACTTTCTAGTCCATACCCTCACTGAGCAGTCACTCACAAGCCAAGCTCCTATGGTGCCAGCACTGGGAGGAAGTGGCCATTTTGGAGAAAAGCACTGCCCTTGAAGATCTGCCCTCGCCACTGAGTTTACGTCATGCAAGTTAAATTTTAGAGTCAGCCACTTCTAAGAAAACAGAGACACGCATCAAAGTAAAAAACACAAAAAATGCTCAATGTCCTATTTAGCCTATAGCATATGATAATGGCAGACAAGGTGAAGACAGGCTTTCAAAGCATCACCATGAATGAACTAAGGTCACGAATTTCTGAAATTCAGTATTTTTTTCTTCTCAAGACCATCTCTTCCCCTCCAAACCAGGGGTACCCTAATTAAAGGTGCTGGCACTAAATTCCCACATGTCTAGGAAGCTAGTTGTGCTACTTTCTATTTCTGTGACTTTATTAAGTTACCAACCCTCTCTCCAAGCCTTAGTTTTCTCATCTAAAAAGTGGGGATAACAATGACACCTACCTCATAAGACTGAGTGAAGAACTCTTTTGAAAATTAAATGAAAGCTATATTATGAGAATTAAATGAGATAATGCATGTAAAACACTGCAAAAGAACCTGGCATAGAGCAAGTATCCAATAAATATTAGCTGGAATAATTATGGCAAATATAATGGTGATAATGCTACCTATCCATGAACAGACAATAGTTACATATAAATTTACATTATATAGTTACATATAAATAGTTACATATAAATTTACAGTTTTTTTTCTCTGAAAGTATTTTAATGCCCATCTGGGATAGTAAGATTATTCCACTCACCTGGATTATCCATGTTTCTCTGACTTGTGGCTCCCCTTTCTAAGGCCTGACTTTCTTTGTTACTTATCACAGGACAGTTCTTAATAGCATGTGTGAGTGATATAAGCTGCTCATCTGTTGTGATCATGTACTGCTGAAGTCTCGCCTAGAGAAAAATGAACAAAATAATATCATTGGCTTATCAGAAAGCAAATCACCTAGGTGTGTTTGACTATATCATTGTTTTAAATACTCTAGGAATTTCAGCCTTTTATTTAAATACTAAAACCATGCATTCATGAAAATATATAATTATGAACATTTTTCAAAATTCTTTGATAGAAGGATGGTTAAATAAATCATGGAATATTATTAATAAATAAATACACTGCTACAACAGTAAGAATGAACCTTTTCATAGGGCTTTCAATTTATAAAATCTCTTTTATAATAGATTTCATACCTATTGACTGATGATGATACCTACTGACTCTTAAGCTACCCCAAAAGACCAAGGAGGAAACTCAATAGAATATTATTCAGGTACTTAAACTGATAAACATAAGCATTATAAAAATGTATGGCAATGCATATAAAATAGTGTTAAGAGATTATATATATGTGTATGTGTATTATATATTACAGTTGACACTTGAACTAGACAGGGTTAGGGGCATCGACACTCTGTGCAGGTAAAAGTCATGTATAACTACCACTGGCCCTCCATATTCAAGGTTCTGCATCCACAGATTCAACCAGCCACAGACTGTAGTACATATATATTGAAAAAAACTCACATATAAGTGAACCAGCACAGAAGAAACTGGTGCAGTTCAAGGATCAACTGTACATATAAAGAGACATACATAGCTCCAACATGAACAGGCATTTGTTAAATGTCGGGTGCAGTCAGAAGTCAGAAATATTATTAGTAGGACTGTTGAATGATATATAATAAACATTTTTATATTTGTCCAAATTTTTCCCAAAATCCACATCACATATCCAATAGATCCCTCAACATCTCCACGAGGAACTCACATAAGCTTCTCAAACTTAAAATACAAAAAAACCAACTCCTCGTAAACATTCCTGCCTCATCAATAACAACTCCATTCTTCCAACTGCTCGGGCCAAAACTCTGACTCTTCTTTCACATCTTCTCCTTCACTCCATATCCTGTCCATCAGCAAATCCTACTGGTTGACTTCAAAATATATTCAGAATTTGGTTACTTTTCACAACCTATCCCACTTACAACCTCAACCAAGCTGCCATGTCTCACCTTAATTATTCTGGACTCCTGTCTGTAATATTCTACTTCTGTGTTTGACCACCTACAGTCTAGTCCTACACTGCTCCCAACCTGCACCCTGGAGCACCAGTACGGACTCACGGGGGCACCACAGGACATTTTTAAAATCGCAAGGAAACTGCTGATGCTCAATATCTGTCAGGTACTAGTGACCTACTAGCTCGAAGTGTTCACAGATTCAACATTAGATCAAGATACATCCCTTTTGATGATACCATATCTTCCTAAGGCTGAGTTTTCAGTAGCTGCCATGCTAAAAAAGCAACACTGCATAAAAATAATTATGGAACAAGAAATAAGAGTGATGGTGTTCAATATGATTCCAGGCTATGAGAAACTGTACAATGCCCAATAGGTATACATGTTCCATTAGTAAATAACTATGGTTATTTAATCATGAATAAAAAAATAAAATACTTTTTCTATCAGTTTTCATGTATTATTTTTTTCACACAGCATCTAAGTTGTTAACGCACAAATACTTACTGTGGTGATGTAATTCCAATTGAGCTATTTCAAATCCTGAAAGATGATGCTGTGAAAGTACTACACTCAATATGCCAGCAAATTTGGAAAACTCAGCAGCGGCCACAGGACTGGAAAAGGTCAGTTTTCATTCCAATCCCAAAGAAAGGCAATGCCAAAGAATATTCAAACTAACGCACAATTGCACTCATCTCACACGCTAGTAAAGTAATGCTCAAAATCCTCCAAGCCAGGCTTCAGCAATACGTAAACCATGAACTTCCAGATGTTCAAGCTGGTTTTAGAAAAGGTAGAGGAAACAGAGATCAAACTGCCAACATCCGCTGGATCATTGAAAAAGCAAGAGAGTTCCAGAAAAACATCTATTTCTGCTTTGCTGACTATGCCAAACCCTTTGACTGTGTGGATCACAATAAATTGTGGATAACTCTGAAAGAGATGGGAATACCAGGCCACCTGACCTGCCTCTTGAGAAACCTGTATGCAGGTCAGGAAGCAACAGTTAGAACTGGACATGGAACAACAGACTGGTTCCAAATAGCAAAAGGAGTATGCCAAGGCTGTATATTGTCACCTTGCTTACTTAACTTATATGCAGAGTACATCATGAGAAATGTTGGGCTGGAAGAAGCACAAGCTGGAATCAAGATTGCTGGGAGAAATATCAATAACCTCAGATATGCAGATGACACCACCCTTATGGCAGAAAGTGAAGAGGAACTAAAAAGCCTCTTGATGAAAGTGAAAGAAGAGAGTGAAAAAGTTGGCTTAAAGCTCAACATTCAGAAAACTAAGATCATGGCATCTGGTCCCATCACTTCATGGCAAATAGATGGGGAAACAGTGGAAACAGTGTCAGACTTCATTTTTTTGGACTCCAAAATCACTGCAGATGGTGATTGCAGCCATGAAATTAACAGATGCTTACTCCTTGGAAAGAAAGTTATGACCAACCTAGACAGCATATTAAAAAGCAAAGACATTACTTTGCCAACAAAGGTCCGTCTAGTCAAGGCTATGGTTTTTCCAGTGGTCATGTATGGATGTGAGAGTTGGACTGTGAAGAAAGCTGAGTACCGAAGAATTGATGTTTGTGAACTGTGGTGTTGGAGAAGACTCTTGAGAGTCCCTTGGACTGCAAGGAGATCCAGGAACCAGTCCATCCTAAAGGAGATCAGTCCTGGGTGTTCACTGGAAGGACTGATGCTGAAGCTGAAACTCCAATACTTTGGCCACCTCATGGGAAGAACTGACTCATTGGAAAAGACCCTGAGGCTGGGAGGGATTGGGGGCAGGAGGAGAAGGGGACAACAGAGGATGAGATGGCTGGATGGCATCACTGACTCAATGGACTGAGTTTGGGTAAACTCCGGGAGTTCGTGATAGACAGGGAGGCCTGGCGTGCTGCGATTCATGGGGTCACAAAGAGTCAGACACGACTGAGTGACTGAACTGAACTGAACTGAATATATGGAGCTGCTGGGTATTTTCTTTGGCCTAGGGGTGTCCTGAGACACTAAGGTCACTGTAAACAGAGACAGGGCGGTGATCTCTGATCTAATCTCAAAACAGCTGCCCAGAGTGATTCTCTTAAAACTGAATTAAATCACATCTCTTCCCAAATCCCTTTTGCGGTTTCCTATTTCATTCAGAACAAAAGTCCAAGCCCTCACCCAGCCTGCAGGGCCCCTGTGATCTGACTTCCTGCTCCTGTCTCCTCCTGTGCACCCTCTCCCACATCCCACCCCTGCCACCCTGGTCTCCTTGGTGGCTTTTGAGCTCAACAGCTATGCTCCCACCTCAGGACCTAAGCCCTTGCTGCTCCTTTGCAGTGAGTGCTCTTTGCTCAGCTATTGGCAGGCTTGCTCTCTCATCTCCTCAGACAGACATGTCCCATCCCATTTATACCCTCCCATCCCAAACCCTTCCCATCCCTCTTACTAGCTTTGTTTTACTTTATGATACATAATAACCATCTAACTAACAATATACTTCACTTTTTAGGGGGCAAAGTTTATTTAGAATGTAAGTTCCTTGAGGACCAAGATTTTTTTGTCATTCACTACTCTATTTCCTGTACCTGGAACAGTGCCAGATACACAGTAAGTACCCAATAAAGATTTGCTGAACATATTAGTACACTTTAAAAGTGCCTATCTTCCTAAGAGAATTGAAGATATATCCTGACACAATTGGGGCTTCCTAGGTGACACTAGTGGTAAAGAACCCACCTGCCAATGCAAGAGATGTAAGAGACATGGGTTTGATCCCTGGGTCAGGAAGATCCCCTGGAGGAAGGCATGGCAACCCTTCACTGTTCTTGCCTGGAGAATCCCATAGACAGAGGACCCTGGTGGGCTACAGTCCATAGGATCGCAGAGTTGGACACGACTGAAGAGACTTAGCATGCATGCACGTTCACACAAATACTTGTACATGAACATCCACAGCAGCATTATTCATTCATCATACCAAAAGGGAGAAACAACTCAAATGTCCTTCAACTAATGAATGGATAATCAAAATGTGGTAGAGCCCATACTAGATTATTGAGCAATAAAGAGGAATGCAGTACTAACACATAGGACAACATGGATGAACCCTGAAAACATGATGTGCTGTGAATGAAGCCAGACACTAAAGACCACATACTGCATGATTCCACCTAGATAAAATATTCAGATTAGGCAAATCTATAAAATCATACAGCAGATTTGTCGTTTCCAGGGACTGAAGGGAGTACAGTGAATGATAATGTGTGTGGAATTTCTCTCTGGGGTGATATACTCTGGAGTTAGATAATGGTACTAGCACAGAAAAAAACACCAAACTGCACACTACAAAAGGGTGCGTTAAATGGTATGTGAACTATATCTATAGAGTCTGCCATATAGAGTGAAGTAAGTCAGAAAAAGAAACACAAATATCATATATTAATGCATATATAAGGAATCTAGAAAAATTGAACTGATAAATATATTTGTAGGGCAGGAATAGAGACACAGACATAGAGAATGGACTGTGGACACAGGAGGGGAAGGAGAGGGTGGGATGAATTGAGAGAGTAGCACTGACATATATATACTACCATGCATAAAACAGACAGCTAGTTGGACGTGTTGTATAGCACAGGGAGCTCAGCTCGGTGCTCTGTGATGACCTAGAGGGGTGGGACGGTGGGGGTGGGAAGGAGACTCAAGAGGGAGGGAATATATGCATACATATAGCTGATTCTTGTTGTACAGTAGAAACTAACACAACATTGTAAAACAATTATACTTCAATTTTAAAGAAACTGTATGTGAATGATATATCAATGAAAATCACATGTCTTGTATCTAATGTCCATTGACACAAACACAGCTTGTCTACTACTGATTTCCTAGTCTCTTGTGGCTGATAAATAAAAGTATCAGTAACTATAACCACTGTTTGACAAAAAGATTAATAAAGATACTGAAGATACTATAAACAACTTTAAATGGCATATATTATAGGAGGGTTCCTCACAGGGTATCCTCTGTTATTTAAAATGAAAAGCAGCTGTCATAACACTCATTTCACATATTGGATAAACCACTATAATATGAGTAGTTTTTATTTAAACATAGATTCTGTCTTCCCCAGTAAATATAAGTTTCTTAAAGACAGGGTATTTATTCTACACTATTTATAATTCAAGTTTTTACTACAGTACCTCCAATATAATAAATGTTCTTGAAAAGTTACTGCTGAGGATACTAAAGAAATGATAAATAATCACACCAGCACAACTAAATCAAAGGCAACTAAAAAAGAATCTCATACACCTGTAAAGATGTTTTATACTACTAAACACAGAAAAGTTTTGGATCTCATCTAAATACCCGGGTAGCAGTATTTTCTTCTCTGAGGAAAAGAACTTCAGCTGTCAGCGCATCAATGAGCTCTCGATGATCACCTAACGCTTGTTCCAGTTGCTGCCTTGTCTCTACTTCTTTACGCAGTTGAAGCTCACTCTACCAAAAAAAAAAAATCAAATAAACTCCCCTCCATAACATCACATGTTGCAAACTAAAAGTTTCTAATCAAAGCTATCAAAGAAGAGAATACTTACAAAGTATATATTATGTGACAGTAATAAAAATTAAATATTTTTATTAAAAGGTTTATATTTCATTAAAATGTACTGCTTTATCGTCTTCCTTTCTTTAAATATAAAACAATGAACAGAATGACGTGTAAAATCAAACAACTACAATTTTTGTAGAAGAGAGGAGAAGGAAGTACATATACAAACTGCTTGAATACATGCAGGCCATTTCTAGGACAGACTGATAATGACAGTTGGCTACAGGAAGTAAACAAGTTAAGTGAAAGTCAGGGGTGGGGATTTTTCACCATACAGTCTTTTGTTATCTTTGAATTGCATACCATGGTAAATGTATCACCAGTTCAAAAATTAAGTTTCTTAAAACATAATTAAAAATAAAAAACAGGCTTAAATGAAAAAATAAAAATAAAAAAACAAAATAAAATAAAAAATAAGCTTCGTAAAACAAGTGATTAACTAAAAAATACATGCTTCTAAGCCTGTAATATGTTCAGAGAGCCAAAAGTACACTCCTAGAGATTCCTAACTTATAGATGTTAAGAATGTTAAGACTGTCACAAGTCTGACAGTAAAACAAATCTGTAAAAAGCAAATTTAGATAGATCTCCACAAGACGGTGAAGTCCTTCGGAACCTGAGCTCACCTCCTATTATGAAAACACCAAAATCACAACTAAGTGCTGAATAACCATCTACAGACAAAAAAGATATTCTACTTTCAAAGACAAAGAAGCAGCCACAACAGGATTGTGGGAGGGGTGCATTCATGATACAATCAAACCCCATCACCTCTGAGTGGGCAACCCACAAACTGGAAAATAACTATATCACAGAAGTTCTCCCACGGGAGAGTTCTGAGTCCGACATCAGGCTCCCCAGTCTGGCATCAGGAGGAGGAGCCCCCAGAGTATTTGGCTTTGAAAGCCAGTGGAGCTTGACCACTGGAACTGCACAGAACTGGGAGAAACAGAAATGTCACTTTTGGAGGGCACATGCAAGGTATCATGCACACCAGGACCCAGGGGAAAAAGCAGTGACTTCATAGGAGCCTGTGCCAGACCTACTTGCTGGTCTTGGAGGGTCTCTCAGGGAGGTAGATGGTGGCTTTGGCTCACTGTAGAAACAAGGACATTGGTTGTGGAGGTACTGGGTATTCACTGGTGTGAGCTGTCCTGGATACTACCACTTTGATGCCAAGACCTAGCTCCACCCAACAGTCCGAAGGCGCCAGTGGTGGGATGTCTCAGGCCAAACAACCAACGGGGCAGAAACACAGCCCCACCCACCAGCAAACAGGCTGCTTGAAGTCTTCCTGAGTCTACAGCCATCTCTAAACACACCCCTTGACACAGCCCTGCCCACCAGAGGTACAAGACTCAGCTCCACCCACCAGTGGCAGACACCAGTACCTCCCACCAGGAAACCTCTGAGAAAAGCTTCATCTACTAGGAGGCAGAAACCAGAAGAGGAAACTATAATCAAGCACCCCATGGGACCACAAACACAGAAAGTTAGACAAAATGAAACAGCACAGGATTATGTCCCAGAAAAAGGAATAAGATAAAGCCCCAGAAGAACAGCTAAGTGAAATGGACAACAACATCTGAATTAAAAACCTGCAACAAACAAAAGCCCAGGACTGGATGGCTTCACAGGTGAATTCTATCAAACATTTAGAGAAACGTTAATGTCTATGTTTCTGAAATTATTTCAAAATCTGCTAAGGAACCCTCCCAAACTCATTCTATGAGGCCACCATCACCCTGATACCAAAACCAGACAAAGATCCAACAAAAAATAAAAATAAGAATCAGCATGTCTGAGCAATTAACACTTTTTTTTTGGTGTGCATTGTCTCACTTATTACCCTCCCAAAAGTTAAACTAATGCATACTTCACAAGCGGAGTATTTGTACCTTCACCAACTTTTGCAAATCTTAGGGTGGAAAATGATATTCCATTGTTATTTTAATTTTCATTTCTTGATTACTAATCAGGTTGAATACCTTTTCATGTGTTTTTTTGGCAGTTTGTTTCTTCTTTTGAAGTTGTGCTGTTCATGAGTCTTCACTTACTTTTGGGGAAGAGAAGATTACTTCTCTCTTTTTAAATTGATATATAAGAATTCTTCAGAAAATAGAGATACTAACTTCTTTTGCTCAGTCATGTCAGACTCTGCGATCCCATGGACTGTAGCCCACTAGGCTCCTCTGTCCAAGGAATTCTCCAGACAAGAATACTGGAGTGGATAGCCATTCCCACCAACATTTTACATAAATATTCATTTTGACCTAGCTGATAAGCTTGTAGAAATAAACAAATGAACAAAAATTAATATACATTATTTCTTTTTCCAGGTTAGCTTATTTTAAAAGTTTTAATTATATCCAATAAATAGTACTACAGCCATATAACTGCATACTCTTAAGCACTGGAAAAGAAAAAGAAATCTATATGTATTAGCATAGAAAGATGTCCATGAAATATTTTAGGTTGAAAAAATTTAAAGAAGAGTGGATCTAATGTGATTTATCTATAAGATTTATCTGTGCTAATATATGAGTTTATTAGACACATCAAAAGATTTCTGGAAAACCATACATAAATTATAGCAATGGTCATGTCTGTGGGTTAAAATTAAAAGGAATTTCACTTTCAAAAAAAAAAAGAAACAGCATGTGTGATACAGATTTAGTATAATTAAAACCACATTGTGGCTTATAAAAAAAAATCCAACAAAAAAGAAAATTACAGGATGATATCACTGATGAACACAAACACAAAAGTATTCCACAAAATACTAGCAAACTGAATCCAACAATATGTTAAAAGAATCACACACCATTAGCAAGTGGGATTTATCCCAGGGATGCAAGGATTTTTCAACATCTGCAAATGATTCCTCATGAGATACCATGTTAACAAACTGAAAAATAAAAACCATATGATCATCTCAATAGATGCAGAAAAGCTTTTGTCAAAACCCAACATCCATTTATGATAAAAAACTCTTTCAGAAAGCAAGCACAGAGGGAATCCTACCTCAACATGTTAAAGGCCATATATGCAAACCCACAGCTAACATCATACTCAACAGTGAAAAGCTGAAAGAATTTCCTCTAAGATCAGGAACGAGACAAAGATGTTCACTCTCACCACTTTTATGCAACACAGTTTTGGAAATCCTATCCATGGTTATTAGAGAAGAAAAAGAAACACCACTTTTATGCAACATAGTTTTGGAAATCCTATCCATGGTTATTAGAGAAGAAAAAGAGACAAACAAAATCCAAATTGGATAAAAAGAAGTAAAATTGTCAAATTTGCAGATTACATGATACTATACACAGAAAATCCTAAAGATGCTTGGAGATGGGAATGGCAACCAACTCCAGTATTCTTGCCTGGAGAATTCCATGGACAGAGGAGCCTGACGGTCTACAGCCCATGGGGTCACAAAGAGTCGGACACAACTGAGCAATTAACACTACTACTATACACAGAAAATCCTAAAGATGCTAGTAGAAAACTACTAGAGCTCATCAATACATTTGGTAAAGTTGTATTATATAAAATTAATACATTTCTATACACTTACTATAAAAAGTCAAAAAGAAATTAAGGAAACTATTCCACTTACTATCACATCAAAGAGGAAAACACCTAGGAATAAACCTACCTAAGGAGACAAAAGACCTGTATAAACCATAAGACACTGATAAAAGAAATTGAAAATGACAAACAGATAGAAAGATATACCATGTTCTTGGATTGGAAGAATCAATATTGTCAAAATGACTATACTACCCAAAGTAATCTACAGATTCAACGTAGTTTCTATCAAGTTACCAATGTCATTTGTTGCAAATCTAAGACAAAATAAAATCTTAAAATCTGTACAGAAACACCAAAGTCCCCAAATAGCCAAAGCAATCTCTTTTAAAACATATTTGGCTGCATCAGGTCTTAGTTGCAGCATGTGGGATCGTTGTTGCATCACAGGGATCTTGCATTGCAGTGTCCTCTCCAGTTGTGGCATACAGGCTCCAGAGCATACAGGCTCAGTAGTTGTGGCACACAAGCTCAGCTGCTCTGCGACATGTGGGATCTTAGTTTCCCAATCAGAGATCTAACTTATGTCCCCTGCATTGCCAGGCAGATTCTAAACCACCGGACCATGAGGGAAGTCCCTAGTCAAAGCAATCTTGAGAAAGAAAAATGGAGCTGGAGGAATCAGAAAAGGATTTTCCTGATCTGTGTCTACAGATCACAAGGATACCACTCACCAAACTGAACTGAAGTGGGTATAGCAAGCAGAGAAAAGCAGTAGAATGAGGACATGATTAGTAGTTTAATTAATCTATAACTGCCAAACAGTAATGTTAACTATTAGCACAAGATATAATTTTATTTAAGCAGATTGACCTAACTAATTATCACTTAGTTATTACCTATTTACCAAACTAAAATCAACACCACTTATCTGGCATATCTTTATCAGGATGTAGAGAAAATTAAGAGGATAAACCTTTCCAACCGATAATCCAAAGCTGAGCCATTTTAAACAAAGTTACTCAAACTTGACTATACTTTATTTGGAGAATGCAATAATTTAAGTGTAGAGGGGAAAAACCTACCCAACTCTGCCATCAGTCTAGTAGAAGAGTAGACTCTAATAACCTTACCTCTTTAAGGTACCGAACCAGGCGACAGAGTGAGCTCACGAGGGACAGGGTGAAGCCAGTGAGACCCTGACTATTTTGCAGTCCCTGGACCTTGCGGCCTGTCCACCGTTCATATTCTTCTATTTCATGTTCCACTTCATGTACCATGTGTTTGAGGACATCCAGGCTGGGGTTACTGCTACTTGGTAAGTCTGTGGAGGCTGTGCTGGCTGATAACACATTATTCTTCTGTTTGGAAGGAGCACATGAATCTGGTTTTCTTTTCACTGATAATGACAGAAGTCATTCTACGTTAAGACCAGGAAAAATTAAAACTACAGACTCACAGTTTATAAAAGGTTTTTTTTTACAGAAGGTATCATCATTTTCTCATAAAGAATCTATACTGTTTAAACCGATTTATACTATCTATAATAAATGAATGAGAATCATCCTTCTAGAGTTACATGGAATAAAAGGAAGCACTAAATGGCTACCATTCAACAACCTCTTACTATGCAGGATCTGACTGGATGAGTTTGAGAGGCATGTACTAAGAGGCTAAGATAGCTGTATCAAGTTACATAGTTTTTTTGATGTTTTTTTTTAATGCTTCCAAAACAGAATTTATTTATTTGTTTTTAAATGTGTATAACCTCCCTATCCCACCCCTCTGTAGGTTGATACAGAGCCCCTGTTTGAGTTCCCTGAGTCATAATAACCCACTTTGTCAATTAAGAGACTGAACCTTTATTTAGCAGCTGTTTTTGCTTCCTTGAGTTCAGCACCTGTCCCACAACACAGCTTGAGTCTAAAGTCTTAGTAGATTCTTCAGGTTGAAGCCTCGTATGGATTCTCTTAACAGCATTGGTAGCATTCAATGCAGCTACAATTCCAAAAGAATCTCAAGTAAACAACAAAAAAAAATTTTAAGCATTTCAATCAACAGGTCAATCAGTATTTACCAATCAGGCTAAGACAGTAAAAACTCAAGTGACATTCCTTTAAAAATTACTGGGTTTAAGAAAGAAAGTAAGCTACTACTCTGGGAGAAATAATACAGTGGGGGACCAAACCTTTTTGTTCTCCTGATGGAGAAGCAGATGATGGAGTTCCTGAAGAGGTTGTTATTTGTGACTGTGTTGCTACTTTCTGCTGAATATCAGTCCATAGTTTATTAATTAACTCAGAATTTTCTTCCTTTATTTGGTGGAGAAACCTATAAATTACAGGACAAGTTAGGTTAGAATTAGTAAGTGGTATCATTTAACCTGTTCAACTGTTTACATATTTGATGTGAAGAAGCATTTAATAATTCATATTCAAAGAGAAATATGTTTTGCTTTAATTTACAAGGTAAGAACTAAAATGCCAATCTTCTCAGTGTTAGAAGATACTGTTCATCTCCCTTCCAGTTTCCTAGCTAGGATGGCTCCCAAAACAACAGTGATCTGCCCTTTCTGAAGTTTTGTGCTATATGCTCCATCCTCCCCTCTCTTTCTCTAGAGAAAATACATGGTTTTGATGAAGGAGCTGGTTCTCCAAGCACAGTCTCTGCCCATCATTGAAGTAAAGTGACTGGAGCAGACTCTGCCCCTGTGTGTCACAGAGGCAGGAAGAAGGAATGAGAAGAGCTGCAGTGGAGGAGGTGAGAAAGAGAAGCCTTTTGCAGTAATCATCTTTATCAGTGATAAAGCTGATTTTTCAGTCGCTAGTTGTCTGATTTATTTGCCTGTTTCCCAATTGGGCTAATATTTAAAAGGGGAGGGTGCTAAAAGTAGAAACAACCCAAATGTCTACCAACTGATGAATGAATAAGTAAAATGTGTTCTGTTCACACAAAAGAACATTATTCAGCCGTAAAAAAATGAAGTGCTACAAATATGGATGAATCTTGAAAACAGGTGACGGACACCAGACACAAAAGATCACATTTTACATGATTCTATATAGAAAATGTCCACAATAGGCAAATCTACAGAGATTTAAAACACATACACACACACACACACACACCCATATTCATTTAATAGATTAGATTGGGCTGAAAGGTTTGGGAGAAAATGGGATCTGATTATTAAAGAGTATGGGGCTTCTTTTGAGGGTAATGAAAATGTTCTGAAACTGACTGTGGGTCACACAGTTCAATGAATATACTAAAAAAAAATCTCAAATTCTGTTAATATTATACTTTAAATGGATAGATTGTATGGTATATGAATGATAAATCAATGAAACTGTTATGAGAAAACAACAGAAGAAGTGACTCCAAAAACCTCAACCTAGTGGAGCTGCTTTCAAGCAACCTGTGGACAGCACATTGAACACTAGCTGCTACAAAGTTTAACAAAAGGCCTGTAATGTGGTCCACACACATTATGGCTAGTTATCAAAGCATCACGAAGACTCCTACTGCAACATAGTATAAGTGGTGGTGGTTTAGTCACTAAGTCCTGTTTGACTCTTGCAACCCCATGGACTGTAGCCTGCTAGGCTCCTCTGTCCATGGGATTCTCCAGGCAAGAATACTGGAGTGGGTTGCCATTTCCTTCTCCAGGGGATATTCCCGACCCAGGAATTGAACCTGGGTCTCCTGCATTGCATAGTATAAGTTAGGTCTAAATCCAACCTTCAGGATAAATCATAAGAAAAGTGTCACAATGAAATTTCTGTACAACTTGGGAAAATCTCCATTAATGTCTTCTAATGTTTATACTTTTAAGAATCAGGTTGTATCAAAGAGCAACAACAAAATAATAATACAATACTATCTATGGTAGGCTTAAGAATGGCCCTCTAAAGAGACACCCATAACTTAATCCCTGGAACTTGTGAATGTTACCTTATCTGACTAAGAAGGTACTTTGCAGGTGTGATTAAGCTAAGGATCCTGAGATAGGGAGATGATTCTGGATTCTCCAAGTGGGCCCTGAATGCAATCATATGCATCCTTAAGAAGGAAGCAGAGGGAGATTTTGATGCACACAAGCAGAGAAGGTGACATGAAAGTGGAGGCAGAGACTGGAGTGATATGGACACAAGCCAACACCTTCAGCCACCAGAAGTTGAAAGAGGTAAGGGATAGAATCTCACTTAGAGTACTCAGAGGGAATGTGGCAATACCAACATCGTCACTTTTGTCTAGTGAAACTGATTCAGGATTTCTGGCCCCTAGAACTGTGAGAGAATAAATATCTGCTGTTTGAAGCCACCAAGTTTGTAGAAATTTGTTAACACAGCCCCATAAAATTAATACAGATTTTGGTATCTAGATATGGAGTGCTGATGTAACAAATACCTAAAAATATGAAAGTAGCTTTGGAACTGGATAATGAATAAAGGCTAGAATAATTTTTAGGTGAACGATAGGAAAAGCCTCCTTTCCATGGATATCACTGACTCACGAATCTGAGCAAACTCTGGGAGATAGTGGAGGGCAGAGGAGTCTGGCGTGCTGCAGTCCATGGGGTTGCAAAGAGTTGGACATGACTTAGCAACTGAAGTTCTGAACAACAACAGAAAAAACCTGACTGCCTTAAAAAGATTATTGGTAGAAATATGAATGTTAAAGATTCTTTCATTGAAGACTCAAGAGGAAGTCAGGAGCATGGTAGAGAAAGCCTGTATCATCTGAGAAAATAACATATCATCATAAATAGAATGTTGGTAGAAATATGAATATATAGAATATATATGAATAATAGAAATATAAAGAAGTTTCTGGTGAGGATTCTGAAGGAAATGAGGAACATGTTATTGGAAACTGGGAAAAAGGCAATCCTTACTATAAGCAGTAGAAAAGCTGAGTTGTGTGGGGAAGCAGAATTTGTAAGCAATGAAACTGGATATTTATCTGTCAAGGTTTACAAGGAAAAGTACTGAACGTGCAGGTGGAGATAGTGGTGAACCTGCCTGCCAACATGGGAGACATAAGAAATCAGGTTCGATCCCTGGGTCAGGAAGATCCACTGGAGGAGGGCATGGAAACCCACTCCAGTTTTTCTGCCTGGAGAATCCCCATGGACAGAGAGTCTGGCAGGCTACAGTTCATAGGGTCACAGAGAGTCGAGACACTACTGAAGTGACCACACATGCATACGCACGCACTGAACATGCGGCCTGCTTTTCTTCTTGCTAAACACAAGAGTAAAGAGATAAATTAAGAGAATAACTCTTAAGAAAAAAGAAAGCAGGATTTTATTTGAGAAATCCTTACTCTTCAGATTGCAAAAGATGCTCAAATTAGGAGTCACTGTTAGGAAAGTAGGCTCTGGAGATAAGCACAAGTACACCAATTCTCTTTTATGGCAGCATCAATTATAACAGTGTTTTAATGACTTTATTTTAGAGACAACTTAGGAATATCAGCATCTCTAATTTACATCCCATCCAAAAGAAGCTACCCAAGCCTACTGGAAAGAGCAATTTTCCTTGTCATTTGGTTTCTGCCACTTGGGATTTCATCTTCTCAATTCTTTCTCCCTTTTTTCACACAATGAATGCCTCCAACATCACCTCTTCCTCTCCCTAGCCTGTATTACAAAGGTCTACAGAGGAAGTAAGGTAGTGGTAAGGGTTAAGTAAGAGAAAGGCTTACAACCATTGCTTCCTCACTTGGAATGTGATGACCCCCCAAAAACACCAATGACTCAGTAGAGATTTTTGAGGACTGGGTTACAGATTTATTGATAATGTATAATATTTTCATATGAGAAATCAATTCCGTGTTCACAAGAACTCACAGAATTCACAGAAATTTTCAGACCAGAAGGCACTTTGGAAATCTTATTTTCTACCCTCCTCATATTTTACAACTGAGGAAATAAAGACCAGAGATGATCTAAATAGTAAGTAGACAAAGGCTTAGTCCCCAGATTCCAAGTCTAATTCATCTTCTACTAATACCCCATGCTCAGCAGTCAATAACTAACATTTTGAGACATAAGGTATTCATAAATTAGAAACTGCTTTTTCAAACAACTAATCAGATAAAACTAATCTTAACCTATAGAATGAAAAAAATTATTTACTTCAAGTGTAAAGAATAAAAGTTATTCTGTACAAGATTAGTTACATTTAGGTTCTGAAAGAAAAGTACTTAAAAGATGATACATATTTCTAGGTATTCTGAAGAAAATGGTGACCAGCTAAACTTGAATTACTCTATATATCCTCCAAACACTGTACAGTGAAACAGAAAAGCAAATACAAACAGCATACAACCCATACCTTCTGTATTATTGGAAGAGAGAGAATACTACTAATTTCAAACTACCTGTAAGTATAAGAATAAGCATCAAATTCCAACAAACATATTTCTTGAGCTCCTGCAGGAAACCTTTGCAAAGAATGGGGGCAGCTCAAGATGACTGCAAAGAGAAAATGAAAGCTGAGAGCCTACTGGTGGCAAAAATTACCTCTAGAAAGAAAAAGTCCACTCTAAGTATGCAAATACTTAAAAAAAAAATGGGCAATCATAACCCAACGAGGAAGTGTGCAGAACCCAAGGTGGTAGTCTTGGGAAGGCATCACCTTTTAAGGAGAAGACAGTTAGCAGAAAAGGAAAGATGCACTTTGGAGGCTGAGTGCTGAAGGGAAAAAGATGCAAAAGACCTGCAAGACAAAACAGAGCCACAATATTGGAGGAGAAGCCACCTTTAATCTACCAATACTTTTTTTTTCTTTAAAAAAAAAAAAGGCTTTAAAGAAGTTGTGCTTCACTGTAACTGAGAAAAATCACCCCAAACTCCCAATCCTCTCCACAAAATGTTCAGTATAACAAAGGAAGTACATCAAACCAGAAAACTGAAACTGAAATACTTCAGGTAATGAAATTCCTACCCCAACATGCAGAAAAAAGCAGAAGAAAACTATAACACAATACTTTAAGTAGAATTAAATATACTTTAAAAAGCATTTCTTTAATCAGAAATTCTAAAACTAAAACCAGAAATGGACAAGGAACATGAAGAAATAAAAGAACTGATTAAACTGAGGAAAGAAAGAAAAACTATGTCAGAAATAAAGGTTAAAATACAATGTCTCCATTGAAGAATTGTTAAACAAACATTTAATAAGCAACATTAAAGAATTACAGAACAACAAAAAGAATATAATTAAGATTAAGAAGACTACAAAAGGTCAAAGAGAAAGTGCCTAAAGAGGGAAACCAGGAAAAATCTTTTGTGTCTATAAGGGAAGTTTCTGAAAAAGAAAAAT